CTCAAATCCCCTTTCCTACCATTGCTATTTGGATTTTGAAGGATGTCAGAATCAAACATTTGGACGAAAATATGGAAAGGATGCAGCTACTCCTTTGGGTGGCATCTCGAGTTCCCCAGAAAAGGATCTACTTCAAGCTTTCCTCGTTGTGTTGACGGAGGCACCACTATGTCTCTATGAGAGGTTGTTATCCGTTCTGCTGGGGATTAAATATACCTTTGAATGGCAGAAGCTACATTCAAAGATATGATCACTAAACGTTGTTTATAGCACCAACGAGAGGCAGTGAGGCACTGAACACGCATTCTCTCTCTTTCACGCAAACATACACAGCCGAGAAAAGATACCGGCATTGTGGTTCCCTCCACGCTACCAAATTGTAGCACTCCCATACCAGTTTAACTGGCCCCGTTCCGACAGAATTGTGGGGTTTGCAAATTGGGGAGGCACTCGAGATCTCCGGCGTATCATACGCCGGAAAACCTCAGATCCCACAGGACGGAGCCACGGCAGTTAAAGGAGTATGAAAGTGTTACACGTTGGTAGTATGGACAGAACTTGGGACGAGGGGTCCTTTACCTCCAACAGTCTGGATAAAACAGTTTTCCACTGATTTGAAACATGGCGTCCAAACAGTGGATGATGGCATTGGATTTTCCATACCAAGCATATGGAGCCTATGCTATTATTATTTATTAAACCCTGCTCCATATGCATTCTAGATCAAAATGCCTCAAAGTTTAGCGTTTAAGAAAAAAGTACAGTAGAGTCTCGCTTATCCGACAGGCCGGCAGAATGTCGGATAAATGAAAATGTTGGATAATACGGATAGCGGTGCTAGACACCTAGAATATTAATAACAGGGACTCAAAGACTTAAGGCAAGGCAACGCCCCGGGGTTAGAAGGGCCCAGCAGGAAGTGCCCGGATGCGGAAGAAGAGCGTGGAAATCACGGAAGGAGGGAGGACGTTTCCGCTTCCGGTCTTGCCTCTTTCCCCGCTTTCCTCCCTCTTTCTCCTCCTCGTCTTGCCTTATTGGGAATGGAAAGAGAGTTGGGGAGCGCTCCTTGAATTGAAGGGGAAATGCTGGAGGAAAAGGAGGGCATCGGATAAGAGCATTAGATACGATGGAATGTCGGATAAGCGAAGGTCGGATAAGTGAGGCAAAAGCGGAGCCTGGATTGAAGCAAAGTACTAACCAGAGGCAGCCCTAGGTAATTTTCAGTGGTAAGCAAACAGTATTTTGGCACCCCCCCCCCCAACCAATCACTGATACATATTTTCTGCTCGTTGTGGGAGTTCTGTGTGCCATATTTGGTGGACTTCAGAATGCTCTTTGATTGTAGATGAACTATACATCCCAGTAACTACAACTCGCATATGTCAAGGTCTATTTTTCCCCAAGAGCGCCTCAATAGCGCCCCTGGGCAAAATCAACTATACTGCAAAGGCTTACTTTACATAATTCGTTGAGCCGCCCCTGGTGCTAACACACATGCGCATAGGTTGAGTCTCCAGGGTTGTCGAACACTTCTAGTGCTGAAGCTATCTCTCACTTCCTGCCGCTTCTGCACATGCAATAGGAAGCGGGATGCATGCATCTCTACCCGCCAGTCTCCCCCTCGCTCCGTTCTTTTAAGTTCTTCAACCCGCTCTCCTCACATTATTATTAACAATGATATAATAATAATATAACAATTTTTCAGTGGTTGCTGGTTTTTTTGGGGGGGCGGCGCTAAAATACTGTTTGCTTACACTTGAAAATTACCTAGGGCTGCCTTTTTTGGGAATGGAGAGAGAATTGGGGAACGCTCCTTGAATTGAAGGGGAAATGGGGGGTGTCAGACAAGACGGAATGGAAAAGGGGGGTGTCAGATAAGACAGAATGTTGGATAAGACTAAATGACAGATAAGCAAGACTCTACAGTACATATAATACTTATAAGCCACTTGGAGTCCCCTATAAATAAATAAATTGGCTGCAGCTACACTGCAGAATTGATGCAGTTTGACACCACTTTAGTTGCCATAGCGGAAGGCTATGGGATCTTAGCCGTAGTTCCAAGGAAGGCTAAACTATCATGGACTGCACTTTCGTAGTCCCTGAAGCTGGTTAGTTTTGGTAAAAGACATTCAATTTGGGGGATTGCAGAGAAACACAACCCTTGGCCATTTCCCAACCCAAGACCGTCGCCTCTGAACCTATTCCTGGGGCGGAAAATAGAAAATTTCTGAAAATTTACTCCAATATTTCCTCCAGCTGAAAATTTCCTCCAGCATTTCCCCTTTCATTGAAGGGGAAAAGCGCATCGGATAAGACGGAATGTCGGATAAGGCGGAATGTCGGATAAGCGAGACTCTGCTGTACTTTGCAGTTTGAAGTCAGTTTGCAGACCCTGTGTAGGAGCAAGAGGAAGAAGAGGAGGAAGGCTTAGCATTTGCTGCCCTCTCCCTCCAACAATCTGGTGCCGAGTCTGGTGCGAATTCAACTCAGCCTGATTCCTTGTCTCTGAAATTTCTCTAAGAACACTCCCTTAAATGCCCAACCTTTCAGACTCCATCTACACCGAGCATTTACTTCGGTTTGGGACTAGCTTTGGCCAGGCAAACTCTCCCAAAACACCCTTCCTGTGCATCAGGGCTTTGTGGTTTGTGGGTTGTTGTAGGTTTTTCCGGGCTATATGGCCATGTTCTGGAGGCAATTTTTCTCCTGACGTTTCGCCTGCATCTATGGCAAGCATCCTCAGAGGTAGTGAGGTCTGTTGGAAGTAGGAAAAATGGGTTTATATATCTGTGGAATGACCAGGGTGAGACAAAGGACTTTTGTCTGCTGGGGCTAGGTGTGAATGTTTCAGCTGATCACCTTGATTAGCATTCAATGGCTTGGAAGTATTAAAAAACTCAAAAATTACCACAGCAAAAAAACAGAGGGGAAACAAACAGGCACATAAAATCACTCTCAACAAAAGATTCCCCCCAGGCACTTCCAAGCCATTGAATGCTAATCATGGTGATCAGCTGAAACATTCACACCTAGCCCCAGCAGACAAAAGTCCTTTGTCCCACCCTGGTCATTCCACAGATATATAAATCCATTTTCCTACTTCCAACAGACCTCACTACCTCTGAGGATGCTTGCCATAGATGCAGGCGAAACGTCAGGAGAAAAATGCCTCTAGAACATGGCCATATAGCCCGGAAAAACCTACCACAACCCAGTGATTCTGGCCATGAAAGCCTTCGACAATACTTTGTGGTTTGTGTCGTCAACATCCAGGCCTCAAACTGGATTTCCGATGCAATCCTCTGCACATTAAATAGTCAGTGTAGATGGGGCCCAAGACATGCTTGTTGGAAGGTCAATGAATCCAATATGATTGCACATTTCATCCATCCAGGACCTAAAGTGCCGAAAGACTCTCAGTCCCAGCTTTGCATTGCTATGTGCGAGAGACTCGCCGCACGAAAGGCGTTGATCTGCAGGCTCCGCTTTCGGAACCAAAGACAAATTGGGGGCTCAGAGCCAAAACAGTGGGTCTCTTGCACCTCCAACAGTGCAAAAACAAACACTTTGCTGGCTTTGAATGACAGCCATCTTGGTTGACACACGACGCCAAGGGTTGTGGTATCTGCTCAGATTGCACATCAATGGCTGGACAAAATCTGCCATTTCCAAGCAGTCTATTCCTTCCATACCTCGGTCCTTTTGACACAACACAACAACCCCATCCTCTCTCTCCAAAATGGTGTTGGTGCCCAAAGTCTTCCTCCCCAACTCTGCCTTCCTGTGCCTTATGCAAAACTCTCCATATATTATGTATACTTTTTTATATTTGTAAATATCTTTATATATCTATATTTATATATACCTATATGCATTTATATAGATCAGAGGTTCCCAACTTTTTTTTTTTTGACCAGGGACCACTCTCCAACATCTCCAAAAAAATTACGAATCGGTTTTTGGGCAACTTTAGATTCGAAAAAGTGACGAATCAGTTACGAATCAGTTTTGGTCAACTTTAGATTTGGTTTGGTTATTTGGGCTGCCGATTCGGAAAATTGCATTGGATAGACCACATCAGCTCTAGTTGCTGATACAGAACATATACCATCTAGTAGTCGCCATCTCCTCGCCCGCAGAAAACCATATTTAATCATCTAGAGCTGATGTGGTTGTAGTAATCTTTTGTGGGGAGTCGGCCTCTTCCTTCCTGACATCCCTGTTGACTTGGGTTTCGCAAGACTAGTCGCTCTTGTTGACATGTGGTTTCAAGGCAACGGTGTAATAATGGTGAGTCCGCGGATTGGTGGTTCACGGACCACAGGTTGGGAACCACTGATATAGACAGATAGATCTCTGTATATAGAGTTATCTATTACTCCCTCTCTGCTTTTGAGAAAGCAGCGGCGGAGGAGACATGGGGAGAGAGGTTGTAGCAAGGCCTTACTCACATGTAGACCCATCCTATCTACCGTTTGGAAATGGACTATTGGTCTTAGAACAGGCCAGAGATTTCTTTAGGTCTCTCTTTGTGCATCCTTTCGTTTTCCTAATCCCAACCCCGCACGTTCAAAGCAAAAGGAAACAAAAAAGCGACTCGAGTTGGACATGCTCGGAACACAGTTTAACGAAACCAAAAATCATAAAATCCATGTAGTAGCACCTTGATCCAGGGGAGAGAGAGATGTAGGAGAGGACGGAAAGGGTGGGTTGGGGGGGGGGGATGTCAAGAAGGATTCTCATCCGGACCCTTGTGAAAAGAAAACCCACATTAATCTCACCCCGCGTTCCTTCCGCACGCAGCACCCTGAAACCGCTCTCAACTTCTTGGATTCCGTCGGGCGTCAGACTCGCTTCCGTTTCGAAAACAACGCGCCGGTTTTCCTCCCTCCCCTCCGTTTTGTGAAAATTACAAGACAGGAAATTGTTTTGCCATCGGAAACGGGAGCCAAAACCCACCTTACCTGCTTTGTTATAATTAGTAGTATTTTCTATAATTTTTTTTTAAAAAAACTCGTTTTGCTTTATTCCACACATTTCCAAGACTCGGACACATTAACGAAGAAAGAGAGAGAAGAGAGAGAGAAAGGACGGAGAGACCCCTTTGCTTGTTTTGTGAGGATTCGGAGACGAGAGAAAGAGAAAGAGAGAGCGGGGTTTTGGGGGGATGGGGCCGCCGTCCCATTTTGCACCCGCTTCCCAGTCCGGGTAGGGTTCTGCGGAGAGCGATGGGTCCGGTTTGGCCACGACTCCGGAGAGGGTCCTCTGTGGCGTCACGAGGGGCCGGGGGCGAGATGTGCGGAGAGACCCCCTTTTTTGGATTCCTTTCCGCTCCTTTTGCAAAGAGGGGTCGTGCAACGTAACTCTCACATCATCTTCGTCGTCATCCGGGAAGCCTGAAAACCCAATCCCGCCCTCCCCGTTTCCATTCTCCTTTTCTGAGCATCCTTCCATCCATCCATCCCTCTCTTCAGGGGAACAAACAGTGACTCGAATGCCACTTTACGTGGACGTTATTTCGGGTTGGCTTACTTTTCCCTCTGGGACAACGGGACAAGGGGGAGGTAGGCCCTGCGAGCTCATTGCCTTGCTATATTTATATTTATATATATATATGTATCTATATATATAATTCATTTTTCTTTCTTTTTCTCTTTTTTTGCAAGGGGAGGGCGTAACGTAAAAAGACGGATGAGCAAACCGAGGAAGAAGACACCCGCTGGCCTGTTTCGGAGGAGGGAAGGAAAGCACACGGTCGTGTGGTTGGGGGTAAAGAGGGGTACACCTCTCCAAAAAGTTTAGGGGTTCGGTGGGTCAGGTGCCAGCCGGGCATCAGTCTCTCTCCGGCACGCACAGGGGCATTTTCTGAGGGACGGGCAGGACGGGGGAAAAAGGAGGAGGAGAAGGAGGAGGAAGATGGGGGATGCTCAGACATAATATTCCTTGTCTTTGTTTTTCTTGCTCTTGCTGGGCGTTTTGGTGGCGGCGGCCGGCTTCTCCTTGACCACCGTGCCGTTGCTTTGGGCCGAGTTACTGATGTAGTTCCGGCTCTGGTCCACCTGGTAGGAGCCTTCGTCCCGGTTGCGGTATTTGTACATGGCGTAGAGGAGGATGAGGATGCAGAGGGCGGCGGCTGCCACGATGCCCACCACCATGCCAGTGGTGCTGCTGGACTCCCGGATGACCTCCACCGCGCCGGGAGGACCTCTCTCCCCGGGTCCGGTCGGGTTGGCTGTGGGTAGATTGTGGAAATTGGGGGAAGAGGTTATACCAGGGTATTTAAGCCTGTTGTTGTGGTTGTTGCTGAGCTTGTCGGGCTCAAAGGAAGTGGCCAGAGGGGGGTACTGTTCGGGGTGGGGCTTGAGGGGCTCCCGGTTGTTCATTTTCCCGGCGGGGCGGACCAGGCCGGGAGAGGAGGTGGAGGTCAAGAGGTCGGGGACGGAGGGCGAGGAGGAGGAGGAGGCTGGCAGTCCTGTCCTAAGGTTGGGGCGGTATCCGTGGGCCTTTTTGGACACTCCGTCGGGCCGGCCAATGAGGGTCCTATCGGTGACCAAGGGGAAGGTGGTGTAAAAGTCTTCGTCGTCGGTGGGGGGCAAACTGGAGTCGAAGACCTCGCCCGAGGCGTAGCCGGAGGCCTCGATGCCCTCTTCGCAGTCGCTGTCCTCTTGGTCGGCCAGGCAAGGGGCCCGCGGGTGGTGGGGCGGCAGCGGGGCAAGGGTGTCTTTGGTGGCCTCGACTACGGTTAGGAAGGGGCCAAAAGTGGGAGGTGGGGGGATGAATGGAGACCGGGTGGCAATTGGAGGGGTGTCTAGAGAGTCCTCGGTTATTATGGGCAAGACTAGTTCACCTCCTAGAACAGAGAGAGAAGGGGAAAGAGACAGAGAAGAAGAGCTGAGGTTAGTCACCTTCCGCAGGGATAGGCGGCCTGCCACACAAAGACAACTTCAAGCCACAGTTTTACAGATAGCCAAAACCCCGCCGCCGCCAACGTCTCCATCCCTGACCACTAGCTTTCTCTCCTCGCCCTATTGCCAACAATCAGAAAACCATAAACCAAAAAAAAAGTAGAAGAAAGAAGAAAAACAAATCATAACCATAATCATAAAAAAAAGTCATTTAATGCGCCAAAAATAAAAACAGATAAAACAGCAGAATTAAGAGCAATATATATATATAAAAAAGAAACCCTCGCTGGCTGATTTCCTTCTTTTTTCTCCCCATCCTCTTCTCATCTAACTACCCTTTCCTCTCCTCGATTATTCTTAATTCTTTTTTCTCCTCTTTCTCTCTTTTTCTCTCTCTCCTTTCCTCCTCTTTCCCTTTCTGCTCGTTTTGTATTTCTTTTATTATTTTGTTTTAAAAAAAAATAAGAGAGCAAACCACGGAATTCAGTCAACTTACATCAACAAATAGGCCGTGTGATATTAGCATGAAGAAAAAAAATTACAAAAAAGAAAACTAGGTAAGAAGGTTTTTTTGGGAGGAAAAAAACAACGTTTTGCTTTTTTTTTGCTTTGCTTTTAAACATCTCTCTCTGCATCTGGCTTGGATTTGATTTTAACTTTTTTTTGGTTTTGCCAAAATGTCTCCTTCTTGCTAGAATCATGGCTGTTCTTGGCTTCCCACAACTGAATCATTTGAACATTCCCATCCAGTCCACCCGCCGCCCAAAAGAGTCCCATCACACCCCTTCTTTTGTGTGTCCCGTTCTTCCCATTTTCCTTCCCCTTTCCCACCCCATGTTCTGACAACCAAGGAGAGCCCCAGGGTTCAACAGAAATACCTTTTTTTGGTGGGGTTTAAAGGGTTTGTGTGTGTGTGTGTGTGTCAGGAGGGACTTGAGAAACTGCAACTCACTTCTGGTATGAGAATTGGCTGTCTGCAAGGATGTTGCCCAGGGGATGCCTAGATGTTTTACCATCTTACGAGAGGGCTTCTCCCATGTGAGAGAATTGGCTGTCTGCAAGGACATTGCCCAGGGGACGCCTAGATGTTTTACCATCTTATGAGAGGGCTTCTCCCATGTGAGAGAATTGGCTGTCTGCAAGGATATTGCCCTGGGACGCCTAGATGTGTTACCGTTCTGTGGGAGGCTTCTCTCATGTGAGAGAATTAGCAGTCTACAAGGATGTTGCCCAAGGGACAACCAGATATGTTACCATTCTGTGGGAGGCTTCTCTCATGTGAGATTATTGGCCGCTTGCAAGGACGTTGCCCAGGGGATGTGTTACTATCCTGTGGGAGGCTTCTCCCATGTGAGAGAATTGGCTGTCTGCAAGGACATTGCCCAGGGGATGTGATACCATCCTGTGGGAGGCTTCTCTCATTTGAGAGAATTGGCTGTCTGCAAGGATGTTGCCCAGGGGACGCCTAGATGTGTTACCATCCTGTGAGAGGGCTTCTCCCATGTGAGAGAATTGGCTGTCTACAAGGACATTGCCCAGGGGATGATTGGATGTGTTACCATCCTGTGGGAGGCTTCTCTCATTTGAGAGAATTAGCAGTCTACAAGGATGCTGCCCAAGAGATGCCCAGATGTGTTACTATCCTGTGGGAGGCTTCTCTCATGTGAGAGAATTAGCAGTCTACAAGGATGCTGCCCAAGAGATGCCCGGATGTGTTACTATCCTGTGGGAGGTTTCTCTCATGTGAGAGAATTGGCTGTCTGCAAGGATGTTGCTCAGGGAATGCTCAGATGTGTTACCATTCTGTGGGAGGCTTCTCTCATGTGAGAGAATTAGCAGTCTGCAAGGATGTTGCCCAAGGGACACCCAGATATGTTACCATTCTGTGGGAGGATTCTCTCATGTGAGATTATTGGCCGTCTGCAAGGACGTTGCCCAGAGGATGTGTTACTATCCTCTGGGAGGCTTCTCTCATGTGAGAGAATTGGCTGTCTGCAAGGACATTGCCCAGGGGAAGCTTGGATGTGTTACCATCCTGTGGGAGGCTTCCCTCATGTGAGAGAATTAGCAGTCTACAAGGATGCTGCCCAAGAGATGCCCGGATGTGTTACCATCCTGTGGGAGGCTTCTCTCATGTGAGAGAATTGGCTGTCTGCAAGGATGTTGCCCAAGCGACACCCAGATATGTTACCATCCTGTGGGAGGCTTCTCTCATGTGAGAGAATTGACTGTTTGCAAGGATGTTGCACAGGGAATGTTCAGATGTATTACCATTCTGTGGGAGGCTTCTCTCATGTGAGAGAATTAGCAGTCAACAAGGATGTTACCCAAGGGACACCCAGATATGTTACCATTCTGTGGGAGGCTTCTCTCATGTGAGATTATTGGCCGTCTGCAAGGACGTTGCTCAGGGGATGTGTTACTATCCTGTGGGAGGCTTCTCTCATGTGAGAGAATTGACTGTCTGCAAGGATGTTGCCCAGGGAATGCTCAGATGTGTTATCATCCTGTGGGAGGCTTCTCTTATGTGAGTGAATTGGTCGTCTGCAAGGATGTTGCCCAAGGGACACCCAGATATGTTACCATTCTGTGGGAGGCTTCTCTCATGTGAGATTATTGGCCGCCTGCAAGGACGTTGCCCAGGGGATGCGTTACTATCCTATGGGAGGCTTCTCTCATGTGAGAGAATTAGCAGTCTACAAGGATGCTGTCCAAGAGATTCCCAGATGTGTTACTATCCTGTGGGAGGTTTCTCTCATGTGAGAGAATTGGGTGTCTGCAAGGATGTTGCCCAAGGGACACCCAGATATGTTACCATCCTGTGGGAGGCTTCTCTCATGTGAAAGAATTGGGTGTCTGCAAGGATGTTGGCCAGGGGACACTCTAATGTGTCACCATACTGTGGGAGGCTTCTCTTGTGCGAGAGAATTGACTGTCTGCAAGGACGTTGCCCAGGGGATGCCCAGATGTGTTACAATCCTGTGGGAGACTTCTCTCATGTGAAAGAACTGGCTGTCTGCAAGGATGTTGCCCAGGGGATGCCCAAAATGTTTTGGTGTTTTACTATCCTTGTGGGAGGCTTCTCTCATGTCTGGAGCTGACAGAGGGAACTCTGGGATACGCAAGGATAGGCTGTCTATCTAACGCAGGGCATTGAAATAGGGCTTTTATTTTCTGTCAGGTTCTTCAGCCAATGGAAGAGAATCCCAAATCAAATCAATTTGGGAATGATCTCTCCGTGCCTCTTTCCGTTCACCACGTTCACATATGGAATATAGCTATGGAGGGAGGCTGTCAAATGAGAGTGAAAATCGGAAACATTTCCATCTTCCCAAATTGTCCTTTGGTCCCCAAATTTTCCGTAATTCCACGAGAACATGTAAAAATACAGCACAGCCATCCCTCCACGTTGGCGGTTTTGACTCTTGCGGATGTGATCATTCCCAATTAGATTTACGAGGGTGGAATGAAAAGTAATGCCTCCAGCTTCGTAACTCCTCAACTGATGGCGGTACTGGTATGCGGCAGGTACTGGCTTTTTCAGTAGACTCTCCTCTACAGTTCCATTTTGGCGGGAAGCCTTAGCATTGAACGGTTGTGTTGTTAAAGTGCAAAGTATAGAACCCGGCGCAGATGGTCAGTCAAGGCAACTTAAGCAACGTATGCGGAAGGTACTGGCTTATTCAGTAGACTCTCCTTTACAGTTCCATATTGGCGGGAAGCCTTAGCATTGAATGGTTGTGTTGTTAAAGTGTGAAGTATGGAACCCTGAGCAGACAGTCAGTCAAGGCGACATAAGCAACGTATGCGGCAGGTACTGGCTTGTTCAGTAGACTCTCCTTTACAGTTCCATTTTGGCGGGAAGCCTTAGCATTGGATGGTTGTGTTGTAAAAGTGCAAAGTATGGAACCCTGCGCAGATGGTCAGTCAATGCAACTTAAGCAACGTATGAGGCAGGTACTGGCTTGTTCAGTACTCTCCTCTACAGTTCCATTTTGGCGGGAAGCCTTAGCATTGGATGGTTGTGTTGTAAAAGTGCAAAATATGGAACCCTGCGCAGACTGTCAGTGAATGCGACTTAAGCAACGTATGCAGCAGGTACTGGCTTGTTCGGCAGACTCTCCTCTACAGCTCCATTTTGACTGGAAGCCTTAGCATTGAACGGTTGTGTTGTAAAAGTGCAAAGTATGGCACCCTGCGCAGATGGTTGGTGAATATGACTTAAGCAACTTATGCGGCAGGTACTGGCTTGTTCAGTAGACTCTCCTCTACAGTTCCATTTTGGTGGGAAACCTTAGCATTGAACAGTTGTGTTGTTAAAGTGTGAAGTATGGAACCCTGCGCAGACGGTCGGTCAATGCGACTTAGGCAATGACAGTAGGTGTCACCTCAAGATCTTTAAACTTACTCACCCAACGATGCACAGTACTCACATCAACACAATCACCATAAACAGCTTGCATTCTCTGATGAATCTCCTTTGGAGTGACACCTTCTGCTGTCAAGAATTCAATGACTGCACATTGCTTAAGTCGCATTGACCTACCGTCTGTGCAGGGTTCCATACTTTGCACTTTAACCACACAACCGTTCAATGCTAAGGCTTCCCACCAAAATGGAACTGTAGAGGAGAGTCTACTGAACAAGCCAGTACCTGCCGCATACGTTGCTTATGTCACAATGACAAACCGTCTGCACAGGGTTGAATACTTCACACTTTAAAAACACAACCATTCAATGCTAAGGCTTCCCTTCGTAACTCCTCAACAGATGGCAGGCCTGGTATGCGGCAGGTACTGGCTTGTTCAGTAGACTCTCCTCTACATTTCCATTTGGTGGGAAGCCTTAGCATTGAACGGTTGTGTTGGTAAAGTTCAAAGTATGGAACCCTGCATAGACAGTTGGTCAATGCGACTTAGGCAATGTGCAGTCATTGAATTCTTGA